AAAGTCAGACCGGCCATAATGCATACCTGGAAATGAGAAACCAGCGTGGTACAAGAGTCAGGAGTCACAGGAAGTCAAATCAGACTAATCTTGCCAGAAATCTCCTGGCGAACCCCAAAAGACTGTACCGATTCATGTCGGAGAGGAAACCAAACATCCGGGGGATATGAGCCTTAGTAGGTTCAAACAGTCAATGACTGACTAGTCTGGAGATAGCCAAAACATTCAGTTAAGCCTTCGGTGAACGTATAAACAGCAATGTGAGTATTGCTTCTACGGTGGCACTACAATTTCACCAGAGGAAAACCTAGTGGCTACTTCCCATATAAACCCGGCAATAGTGCCAGGTAAGCTACAGAAACCCATAACTTGAAAGTCCCTAGGTCTTGACGATATCAGGAACTCTGTTCTGAAACAGTAAGCCGAAGCCTAATGCAACTTGTTCCTACACTCTTTTCTCCGATTTTTAAGGGTGGGGATGGGCAAAATGCCACCAGTTATACACCAGTGGCACTACTCCCAGTGGTGTCAAAAGTACTGGAAATTACAATTTATGATCACATCAGGGAGCACCTCGATAGGACTAACAGACTCCCTTAAGACCAATATGATTTCAGGAAAGGTGAATCCTGTGTGACAAACCCACCATCAGTTCGGGACGACTGGACACCATTCTGGGATGTGAATATTCCAGTCCATGTGGACTTCCTAGACTTTGTGGAGGCATTTGTTACAGTTCACCATGAGATTCTCCTACACAAAACAAGTCAGGCAGGTTTAGGTGAGCCGCTTCTGTCACGTCTGGAGGATTACCTAGACGAAAGGAAATTCTGCGCTAGGGTAAATCGAGTCCGATCATCTTGGCACGCTCGTCATTAGGAGTGTTTCAGGGGGACTAATGCGTTTTGGTTTTTATTGATGACCCACCATGAGGTCTAGGCTGCTCGAATCTTCTGTACTCTGATGGTGATAAGCCACTGAGAGCAATAAAGTGTTTGGAAGACTTGGATAAGCTTCAGGAAGAACTAAAGCCCTTCGAAGACTAGGCGGTGGCCAGTGTTATGACTTACAACCTGAAAAAGTGCAAAGTAGTGAAATGACTCTTCTGCAGGCCGCAGAATGTAGGTTACATCCCGTACAACGAAGGCTTGTCCTGCACAACGTCGAAACATGAATTAGGTCTGTTTCTAATTGAAAAATGGACTTAAGTGTAAATTACACATGAGATGTAGCAATAGCATATGTGGTCACACTTTGCACATAGACAGCAACGTGCACCCAATCCTGAGCTTTTTCTAAGGTTGTACAAAACATTCGTCAGACCACACCTTGCAGGGCATAATATCAAGACATGCCCATGGCCAAGAAGGGACGCAAACCTCTTGCAAAGAGCCTAAAGACGGGCTTAAAAAGCAGCGGTGGGTCTTCGAAATAAACCGCATGATGAAAGTCTAAAGAAATTAGACCTATTCACACTTAGCTACCGTCCGCTTAAGGGGGATTCGATTACTGCCTGCAAGATTACAAATGACCATAATCACCCCAAAAAGGTGTTCTGCCATTGAGTAGGTAAGAGCTTCCTCTTGGAAATCCCAGAAGGATAGTTTACCAGAGGGCAATGACTCGAGTGCGCTTCCACTTCTTTTCACTGCGGGTTCGCCCTTCTGGAACTCCTTGCAGACAGATGTAGCTACGGTGCCGTTTGTGGATAGCTTCAAACCAAGGCTCGATAATGATGCAGCCAGACCGACACTGCGTTCAAATCCCCTACACCTGTGATGGGTAGATATCTAAATTCGTCATTTTACGTCTCTAGATTCTCACCTATCTTACTCTCCTGACTACTGTAAACTACTGCAGTTGCGCTTATTACAATTATTATTGATATTATATTTATTAATATATACATATACATCAACTTCAAATTTATTTCGCTGTCCTTTTTAACGTTTTCTTTATTTTTTCTGCCTTTTAGTTTGAATAGCCTACACTTATTATATCTGTTACTATCATTTCTTTTCTTTTGATGACTATACTGGGGGATTGAATGGTGAGATGATTTTTCTCAATTGGCAGTATCAACAAAGTCTCAATACGCCTCATACCACAAATAACATAATTAATCCCAGGACCACTCCTTTTAGAGACAACCCGAACATGAAGTGTACCTTGAACTCAGGAATCGATGTAACATACGAGTCCGGAGTGATAGAAGGACATTTCAGAGAAACCTCGCCAATCAGCTTCTCGTGAACCCCAAAAGCCTATACAGGTTTATGTCTGAAAGAAAACCGACCAACCAGGGAGCTTGCAATATAGTGGGTTCTGATGGGAAATCTCTTACTAGTCTTGAAATGGCAAAGACATCCAGTCTAGCCTTTCACAGGCAACTGAACAGTAATGAGGATTTTACCCCCACAAAACATCAAGATTACAATGCAAAACCAACGTGCGAAAACCTGCTGGGTACATTTCAAATTACCCCGGCTATGGTACTCGTAAAATTGGGAAAGTTGGCTTCGGGAAAGTCTGCAGGTTGTGATGACATAAGACCATCCGTCCTGAAGCAGTGTTCGGAAAGTCTCTGCCAGCCTCTAAGTGATCTGTTTCAACTCCCCTCTGATGTAGGGAAACTTCCATGTGAATGGAAACGAGCCATCCTATCCCCTATCTTCAAGGGTGGTGACCGGCAGAACGCGACCAGTTACAGACCAGTTGCGCTACTCCCAGTGATATCGAAGATATTGGAAAGTCTCATTCACGACCACATGAGAAAATACTTCGACGGGACTAACCTACTCCATGAAGCACAGCACGGTTTCAGGAGAGGAAGATCCTGTGTGACGAATCTTCTACTAGCTTGGAACGATTGGACACTATCCTGGGATGTAAAAGTACCAGTCCATGTGATATTTCTCGACTTTGTGAAAGCATTCGACACAGTTCACCATGGTCTGCTCCTTCACAAAATAAGCAAAGCGGGTGTTTCTGGAGGACTTCTCGCATGGCTGAAAGATTATTTAGGCGAGAGGGAATTCTGCACCAAAGCTAACCGCATCCGATCATCTTGGCACACCTCAGCATCAGGGGTTCCTCAGGGTTTTATCTTAGGGCCGTTGATGTTTTTGATTTTTATCAACGACCTGCCCTGCAAACTGAACTGCTCTGGGCTTCTTTACGCTGACGACGTAAAGATTTGGAGAGCAATAAACTCATCGGAAGACTCCGACAGATTGCAGGCTGACCTGCAAACTCTGGGAGACTGGGCTCTGGCTAAAGGAATGTCTTTCAACCTAAAGAAGTGCAAAGTAGTGCAACTTCATTCCGGTAGGTCACAGAGTGCAAATTACACCCTTGGTGGCCAGAACTTGAGTTATGTGCCATCAGAACGCGACCTAGGCCTTATTTTAACGGAAAAGCTTGACACCAGTGTAAATTACACGAGGGACGTCGCCGAAGCTTACGCTACTTTACACTTTATGCATAGGCAACTGGGAGCTCTTACTACTGAACTATTCTTAACGTTGTATACGACATACGTGAGGCCACTCCTTGAGATGCATAATATCATTACTCCTACGCCACTCAAAAGGGATGCTAACATTCTAGAAAGTGTCCAGAGACGAGCGACAAAATGGGTGATCGGCCTCCGCAACAAATCATATGAGGAAAGGCTGAAGAAATTAAGTCTTTTCACACTTAGTTACCGTAGTCACAGGGGAGACCTCATCACTGTCTATAAGATCTTAAATGATCAGGCCCACTCGAATAAAAGCATCCTGCCGTTAAGTGATTATAGGCTTCCACGAGGTAAGCCGCTAAGGATAGCACACCAGAGACCAAAGACTCGAGTGCGTTCACATTTCTTTTCGCTTCGAGTTTGCCGTCTCTGGAACGCTTCAGCGGCGGCCGTAACTACAGCTCCATCTGTGGAGACTTAAGCGGAAGCTGGACAATCATGCAGAAATGCATGGTTTGTGTCTCAATGGCTTATCCTCTTAAAATTTGAAACCACATTGTCAATGGATAAGTATACAAGCTAAATCACCACGACCCGTCCTGTCTTCTCCCACTGTACCGACTGCTCTATCTTTTCGTTCTTTCTTTATTATTTCACTTATCTCAACCTATATTATCTACACTACAACCTATTATTATTACTATTCTACTTTTATGACTATACCGAATGACCAACGGGTGTTAGGTCAAACTCCATTCACGGCAGCAGCTGAGTCCTAACATACTGCACACTACAAACCACAATCTTGACCAATCCTCGCACCACTCCTCTTGGAGTCTACCAGAGCTAGAGCAGTCGAGTGGCGGGATTTACTACGCATAAGTTCACCGAAGATCTGGAACCTCTACCTTACAATCAGGAAGCGAGCTCAAAGAAATCACTGGTTTATACTAGCTCGTAATCAGGATATTGGATTTTTTATTTTTTATTTACAGCTTGATTCCACACCGTATTTTCATTACAAGTGTGGAATTTTCAGCATGGATATCGGTAGCCCAAGTTCAGGCCGACCATAGATATCGGGTGTGCTCCGGCAGGGGATCGAACCCCGGACCATGTGCATGGTCGGCGAGAGTCCTAACCACTGTGCCACCGACGCACAAAGATACGACAGTCGAGTGGAGGGATGAAGTGAGCAAAAGTTTACCTAAGACCAGGGAACTTAATTTCGCAATCAAGAAGAGAGCGTAAAGAGATTGAAATGGTTCATATTAACTAGCAAAAACAATATTGGATATTGCATACAAGACCTTCTATGAGGTTGGAAGTCATTCGAGAAGTAGGATGAGATTCGTGCCTCCCGCTGAACACCACCAGTGTAACAGTAATAATAACTTTTTCTTCACGACTAGTAATATCGCATTTATACGATGACCTGCTGCTAAGTTTTATTCCGACTAAAATTTGTTTTATCGCTTCGAAAATTATCGAAATTATAATGTGAGGACAATAGCGGACTTTCAATACTTTTGAGCGAATCATGTTCGCAGCCGCGTTAACGAAATATGTCTTTTTAACGTTGACTACTCTGCACTTATTAGATATTGCTGTTGCTTATTCACCAAATTTTGAATCATACAGAGAGCTATTAGACTATCTATATAGTAAGTTGACATCACATTTTGACTAATTTCTCTCCAGCAAATGGTTATATAAAGTCCTTGACCATAAAAAAAGCAATGGGTTTTGTTGATCGAAAATTTTTCGTTACTGGGAAACCGTACGAGGATAGTTCACAGGAAACAGTGTACGGAGTCAGAATCTTGGCGCCTCATGTGGTAAGGCTGATGAAATTCCAGATTATTAATCTTTGCTGTCGTAACATAAAATATATTTGAAATAAAACATAAATGGTGAATGGCTTGATAGACAATTAAGAATTTTTTATTATTATTTAACTCCCCAACGCATCAAAACGGTTGTAGGAGCTGCATTCAGGGAATTATTGCATTTTGGGTAGATATAAGTGCGTAATTAACTAGACATCTTACTTCACCAACAAAGGTAACATGACACCGTGCAAAGCCGCGGAGGTTCTGGCTGACAAGCATCTTCTTAAAGATTGATTTTCAGCACTCTGTACTGACTGCTGAAATATCACACTGTGAAATGGCTATGAAGTTGTGAGCTGTCTATTTCCAATATCCAATATTTCATGAAACTATTTGTTACCATAGGAGTAGAATGCAATCCATCCTGTAATGTATTCAGGATTGAAAATGGTATTTAGTTTGGTGGTTTATTATGGTAATTGATTAGGCTAGGAAACAAGTTACGTTTGCTACTCTTCAACTATGATTCCGAGATCCATTACAGTGTCTTGCTGCAGACTTCAGAGTTATTGGTTGAAGATGAAAGGCTTAAAGCCGAAGTAAGTCCTTTTCTAGTAAATTTCTCTGCTTGTCCAAACCCTTCGTGAGTGAATCAGTTGAATTTGCAGACACCACTTCTTCTGGGAGTCGGTTCCTGGGGTTTATGACTTGGTGTAAGAACCAGTACTCAACAACTATATGGTTTCTCCTCAGCTTTTGAGCTTTCCTGCTATGTCTTCTAAAGTGTTCCGACCTAGTGAGAAGGAAAATAGAGAACAGGTCAGGTCCGTAGTCGTTATTTAAAGTTTTAAACATTTTAATTAAATCTCCTATCAGTCTGCGGTATGATAGGAAGAAGAGATTTAAACTATCTAGTCTTTCCTGGCATGATAAGTTAGTCGTACCGAGAATCATACGTGTTGCCTTCCTTTGAACCCTTTGTAGAATGTGAGTCCTCTTTCAGACAAGGACCAGCTGCCTGGATACAGTTTTCTATTCTTGACCTCACCAGAGATGTACATAAGGAGGTGAACATATCTCTGGTAATTCAAGCAAAGGCTCTGCGAATTGCACATAAGGGTCTGAAATTTCGTGCAGCCACCGCGCGACAGTGTGCTGTATTTCTTAAATCGTGACTTACTATGACACGTAAATCGAAAGGAGTCTGAACTGCTGGGAGTGATATTCCATCTAGTTTGTAGCAGCTGATGCTTGCGTGTCCAATACGCATGGTTACACATTTCACAAATTTGATCGGGAGCATCCGTTCTCTAGACCACTCTGACAGTTTGCTGAGGTCCTATGGCATAATGGGCGTATCACCGTCGCCCTTCAGCCCTCTCCAGATTTTTAAGTCACCTGCGTATGGGACCAAAGTGGAATTCGTGAGAAGAGATAACCCCGCTACGCACTGCCGTCCAGGAGGGGAGTTTCGAGTTGATTCTAAACCTCTGCCTCCTATCCGTGAGGAATTCCCTAAGCCAGTCTATTAACCTGCCTTTCATACCAAGACTTTCCAAATTCATGAGTAATCTTTTGCGAGGAACTTTATACTAAGGCTTTGCTGAAGTCTATGAAGACGACGTCAATGGGTCTTTTGTTGTCCCTTGATCTAACCCAGTTTTCTCTTGCAATGCGAAGATCTAACAGGGATGAGAGGTTTCCTCGGGAGCCTTGCTATGCTCTGGATAACAAATCGTTGCTTTTCAGACATATCATGATCCTTTATTGATGATTCTTTCCAGTGTCTTGATTAAATCGCAGGTGAGACTAATAGGTCTGTAATGTGAAGGGCTTTGTCTTGATCCTCCTCTGTGGATGGGGGTTACTATGCCATCTTTCCAGTCACAGGGATAGCTTGAAGATCGTGATGAATGGACCAGCTTTGTGAGCTGATAGCTCCTTGAGAAGCAAAGGATGATTCTTAAAAGTGAATGTCATAAAAATGTCGTAGTTCTCTGACACCCTATTCAAATGGTCAGTGGTAGTTACCTTGGTAATTTAGTTGTCATGACGTTCTCAGTCAGACGAAATAAATTAAACATATTTAGCAGGATGTATCTCACTTTACAGAAAATAGGTTTATTTTTCCACAAACAAATTAAAGTACTAACTAATATGCCTGGGGCTGAAAATTATGAACATTTTTTATCCCGTCACACAGTGATATTAAGGACTGGCAAAGTGGATGGGATCCTTGAAATAATGGAGCATAGATCTGCAATTTATTCTTTGTGAACCCATAAAATACCATGACAGTTATTGAACATCAGGTGTTATTTATCATCTTTAATCCCCTTTTTGTTTTCACGTCTCTTGGTTAATTTAAATCTCTAAGCAGCTAGAAAAGCATATATGTATATATATATTGCAATGGTCGGCTGAATTTCTAGTATCGCATTTCAATACCTTAAATTCTTACTAAAAATTTCTTCACGTGTTTTCTGATACAGGAGGCACTTGTTCTGGGAGCCTTAGAAAGCCGTCTTCCAATCGGTGCACACGTTGCTTGTATTTTATGCCACAGTGGGTACTTACCATCAATTATGGCAATCTACGTAAGTCCTATGATTCTTACTTACATTTAGTATTATATTCAGTCGTTCATATTGATTTTCAACCCTGTATAGCCTGTGTTCACAACTGTCTGATCACCCTTTGTCGCTCTGACTCGTTTGTATACTTGATTATTTAGTATTTTTTGCATGCTTTGGTATTTTATTTGTTACATGTACGAGGCGTCATGCAAGGTGTTGAGCAGATGAGTTTTACCTGACTATGTTGAACCCACTAAAACCTGCTCCATTAGTTGTTGTTGTTGTTACGCTTTTTGAGTTTTGAATAATTAATGAGCTTCCTCACTTTAATGAAGAACAATTAGAAATCCCTATTACATGTTGTATGTTTTTTTTCAAAATGTTTCTTAGTTGAAATCTTTCAGTTATGTGACTCTAATCTTAGCTCAAAAGGCAAGTGATTTTGCATATCCAGATTCACTTCATTATTATTGATGTTAGTTGTAATATTTGAATACCCTTTGTGCATTCACACGATAGTCATATATGCTGGACATTGTTATCATTATTTAATAGCTTAGAACTGAGAAAACATCTTCAGTACTTGTCAGTTTGTTACATACTGTATCTGTAATAGCACAAATACATGCTCTCAAGTGAATCTGCAAAACAATACTTCTAACCACGACCAAAGCCACAATTCTTTTATTGATGTTGCTTATCAGAGGAAGTGTGGAATGAAGTCTTTGCTGACGAAGTCAGTTTGTATAAGTATGCTGTATCCTACTTTACGGCTATAAGACAGATTCGTTGAAAAAAGAAAGCTGAGAATAGATTAACGGTTCTTAACCTTAAGTTCTTGTATTCAATATATCGGGTTGGATAGACCATTATGGACACTAATGATGAGGTTAGGTGGGTGGTGTTGGAATAGACTGCGAAAGACTGAAAAGTGGTCAGACAGAAACCTCACACGACTTCGTAAAGTCTGAAACCGTTGGTTTAAGCCATGCAGGGATGTGTTGACTGTCTATCTGATATGCTTGATAAGGTATAAATCCACGATTGTAGACTACTGAAGATACTCTCTAAAATTATTTGCAATGGCACATATGTGTACCTACTATTTGTATGCTGTCGGATTTTAAATTCCTCACGAATCTTCATCTAAATGTTCTCTTCTCTTGATTCATTTTCTTTTATACTGCGTTGTGATAAAGCTCTTAAAGTGAATATAGTATTGTGTCTACAGAAATTTTCTGAATATGTATGTTTCTGTTGTATCGCCAGTCCTTTTCACCACAAAAGCATCTAGGAATCAAATAGTGTTACTTTCCACAGGATCTATAAATAATTTAAAATTGATACAGCATAAATTGAATTTCAGTAATAATGTTCTTTGTTTGTGGTTCATCTTTCACTAAATTATATACTGGGATTTATACATCATTCTCAAACGGAAAAAGAAGATTTGCATATAGTATCTTTCTCCATCGAAGAAATTTTTTTCATTCTTCTGTGTCATCTGAGTGGAACATAGGGCTTCAAGCTTGAATTTTAAAGTTTCAGTAGCAGTGGCTTCATTTTTACTGGGTGGTTTCGCTAGGCGCATGCTTAAAACCTTCGTTGCCTACCAAACTTGCCACCAGCTAAGTGAGGTTCAGGAGAGCGTCAGCAGGAAATTGAACCTAGACTACCGTGTATGTTCACTAAGCATTGTACCAATGAATCAGTGGCCCACAAAACTAAGGATCACTGGAGAGTCGTTTCATCCTAGTTTGGGATTCAACATCAGTGTGCATCCACAACACCACTAGATATTGAACTGAAGATTTTCAGGTTATGAGACCAGGTTCGTCTATCATTCACTTACTTATGCTTAAGAACAGTTACATTCCTAACACATTTTGGAAAACGAACCAAAGAGGCTATGGTGAGTTACTTGATAAACAGCATTGGTGTTCACTGGGAAGACTTTTTGACAGCTATGAGATTCACAGATATTGTCATTACAGACTTTTTAATTTCATTTCCGTCAATCTATATCTTATGAATGATATAATGTTAACCTATTACTTTAGGTGTATATATTGAAGGATTGATGTGCATAGTACTTTAAAGTGTATGACTATTATGTTAAAGTTTAATTTTTTTTATTGTTTATAGGTATTAAATAGAGGTATCGTCTTAGGAATTGAAAAGGATAGCAGTGTGACCAATTTTGATTATGAAAATATTGAAAAATGGATTGCATCGAGTCATATAGCAAAAGCATACCATTTTAACAGACACTCGCCGTTTCAATTTTATACTCGTAGCGATCCAGGTGAGAAAGTGGGCCCTGATTCCTATAGCGCCACTTTTTATAATGGGGATGATAAAAACACCATTGATAAAGTAAGTTAATACAAGTTTCTTTGAAATAAATAACTTCTGAAAGTTGCTACCATGTTGTCCTCTTTAATCATAACTGATTCATTTAAAGACTAAAATGTCAACTTCACAAGTAGAAAATTTCATCATTAAAATTTATTAAAAGATGTAGCACACCATTACTATGACTACGTTGATGTAGATGAAAGCCATTTTAAAGAATCACTCATTCCTTAGTTGTCATTTCGTGCTTTAATGGTTCAGGAGTTGAACTCTCACCAACCATGCAGATGTTCGCGGCTCGATTTCCAGGTGGTGCACTTTAAGACTTCACCAAGAGGGAGTTATACACCCTACTACATTTTCTTTGCCTTAATTTTTTGATCAGTAGGCTCTTGATTGGTTCGTTCCATAGAGTTTCTAGTCGCTAATCCTGTCTGGCTGGCCCTCTGATCCTTAGTATAGAGCGAAGGTAGATGGTGATAAAAGACTACAGTAGCCTGTGAAAAATGCTTTTTGTGACATGGCAAATCTCTGAATCATAAAGAAGAACTGGCTTAACATATGTGCCGAAAATCCGAATGATATTCTTTATATTTATTGCAAAAGATTTCCAAACTGATTTCAGAGTGATCAATGCATGCCAGGTCTTTCCAATCCTGGCTGGATTTGACATCGTCATCCAACCCGTCTGCCTGTAGTTGAAATGGTTCTGTGGGAACAAGTGAAGAAAGTGACCGCTTTAAAATTTCTCCCATTGACCGTGATTGGCGCTGGATACTGTTGTTTGTCGCGTATCCCCTCTATATCTGTCTTTCTTATGTTCACTTGAAGACCTATCTTCTCTGAATCATCTGAAAACTTGTTGATTTTTACCATTAGGCCTTCCAGTTTATGTGACATGAAACATAAATCATCCGTGAAGTCCAAGTCTTCTAGGGCCTTTCACCATGTCTAACACATTCAGGTCTTCTCGCCCACCCCCCTTAGTGTATTGCATGATCTAGTCCACACAATCAAGATTATCATCGGTAACAGTTGTCAACCAGCCTTGTCTCACTCCTGTCTTTACTTTAAAAGCTTCGCCGAGATTTCGGTAGTGAATCACCTGGGCATATGGTGCCATCGTATAGCTGTTGAATGAGGCAGATAAAGGTTTGAGTTGAAGGAGTTTCCGAATCACTTTAGGGTCAAAGTGGTCATTGGTTTCTTCAGAGTTGATGTAGCTGAGGCAGAAATTCAACTTCGACTGTGTACTCTGTTCAATGACAATGCGCAGTGTTGCAATTAGATCTGGATACAATACTTTTTTTGTTCAAAGTCAGTCTGCCTAATTAATATTACTTTGGAGATTCTTACTAGTAGTTATGATAAGTTTAATTATAGGATTGTTCTTTTTTAGTCTTTTTAGTCAGGTTCGCTGAGATCAGTCACAGACTCCCAGACTTATAATGATGTTAAGAGAAATAATTGATGTTGAATTGAAGACATGACGACCCGGAGGACTTCAAAGTGTTGATTCCTTATAGAAATAGCTGAGAGGCTTTACAACGAAGCTTGTAATCTGCTAGTAGCTGATTTCATTCCTGTGGTAGCTGAAGTTTTATTTTCACTTTTAATTATTACCTATTTCAGAGACGGAGTTTTTCTTGATTTAATATGGCTGAATTCATTTTTCATTTATTATTTCTGAGCAGATTTTAAGGATTGAAAATTAAGTGAATTAACTTGTATACTGTTGGAATCTTTCATAACATTGGTTACTTATGATGCTTTTTTCTTGAATCATTCTATTGTAGTTAAAGCAACGTTTGAGAAAAATGGGTCGCCTTGTTTATCTAACAAGAACTGAAAGGGGAGGTCAAGTCTTGATGGTAATAGATCGACTATCCAATGGTTCTTTCCATGAAAGAATGTTAGCTCATGTTCGATCGGATAAGGTTAAAGAAGAAGAAGGAGAAAGAGGAAGAGAAGATTTAGGTGGAGAAAGAGGAGAAGAAGATTTAGGTAGAGAAAGGGGAGAAGAAGTGGAAGGGCCACTGAAGGAAATAGAAGAAGCAGTGACACCTACACCCGTTCCACCTCCGTAAGACACACTTTTTTAATATGTATCATGTGTACTTGTTTATCTTGTCGAAACAGTCAATTCTATTTATTTTCAATAGACAGACTTCATCACAAACCAAATCCGTTTAAAGATTTCATTGACAATATCACTTTCCAGCTTATTCATAGCTGCTGGATAGATGCCCTGAAGCCGTCTGTAATGAAAATTTATGATCATTGGGGTCTGTCACGTCAAGCTGAAGTGGATGCTCATCGAAGACATTGCATGGTGGAGGTAGAGCTATATAGTGTGCGAGTTGACAAAGTCAGAACTGATAGATCATTGAAATCCAGTCCAAGTGAATGAAAAGTTAGCGAACTTGGTGTCATCGTGTCCTGATTATATCTGGTTCAATGCCTAGCAGTGTGGTAGCTGGTGTGAACTGATGAAGAATCTCAGACCAAGGCGAAACAGCTGTTCAGTAATTCTTAACTTTCAGTGATCTGTCTATTGTTGATTTTAGACGGTTAGCAGTAATCGGGAGGAAGCCTCGGGTCTGTCGGTTGAATGCTTGTTAACTGGCACTCACCAGTAGTCAGCAAGGCGTGTCCCTTCATGGGAATCGAATCAGCGTCATCCATTGCTGCAGTGAAAAGTGTTACCACTGAGCTATTTGGGTTTGCAATTGACGTCCTTTAGGACTATATCGGATACTCTGACTGCACGAAACCTAGGTTCAAGGCTTCCTGTCATCCGCCTCCAACCGTTTAATAAAAAGTATTTCAACTACCTCAGTTTCTGTTCTATGAGGTACGAACAGGGATTAGTGAAGTCACCGATTGACAACGCTATCTCATGCTTGCTATAATTTATCCGACTGCTAAACTTATCTCTGTGCACAACACCATTTGTGCTGTTTTTCAGTCAAGTACGGGCAGGAAGCCATCAGAAGTCATTATGAATTGTGTTTAAATATTCACGTTTATTGTTAAACAAGTACACTGGAAAGACAGAAGTATAGATATCCATTCAACTCTCCGTACATAATCGAGAATACATTGATACTCAAAGCTTCCCTGTCATTTATACGTGCAATAAATCAACATCTGACGCAATCGAGAGATAAAGTGGACATTCCGACCCAACGACATTCTAACTTTGAATCAGTTTACCTATTCAGGTGATATCAAGCGACGCTAAATAAAATTTTCAGTGTACAAAAGGAAACGGTGAATCACCCTACCACAACGTGTGCTGTATTGTAACATTATTATTTGTACCTATTGAGCATAACTCACGAATATGAAATCACAATCCCGGTAATCAATTTCCTGCATACTGAGATGCGGCTCATCAGCCTGAAAATTGGTAGGCTGACCTAAGCATTTTGGGTTTGAATGCTGCTCTACTGATTTTACTCGGGGCAGATGGATAGTATGGTCATCTGCCAGACCTTTTAATTAGGTAACTGAGCTTCTGAGTGAAAGTGAATGCAAACTAAACATTGAAAATAAAATTTAAAAATTACAGGGAATGCTTAATGAAAAGGTTAAGTAATTATTATTATTCGCTTTGGTTCCGAGTGAAAAATAGGGCTTCAACAACACATCTCTACTTTGTTCTATTTTCTGCTGTCCCTAAGATTACCCGTAGTCTCTCATCTCCACCTCACACGATCTACTCTATGTCACCCTCGTACCGACAACCCACTCGTAGCTTCCTATCGGGGTTCCACTTGAGCAGTGGCCTGGCGCGCAATGTCATCAGATGGCCTTCTCAGCGTATACCCAATCCATCTCCATTTTCTTCTGCTGTTGGTTGGTTTGTTCCCACAGTTTCTTGTTGCTTATGATTTCTGGCCATTCGATCTTCATTATGGAGCCAGTAAGGTAGCCGTTAACAAATGCCTGTAACTTGTTGGAAATCCTTTTCGTGATGTGCTTTACCATGTTTCTGGTCCATATAAAAGAGCTGATTTGACACTCGAATCTTTTTCTTTATGCAAGAGATTTCCGAACTGGTTTCAGATCTTGCCTTTCCCATTCTGGCAGTGACATCTTCATCCGTGCCTTGTGACTGTGGTTGAAACGACGCTTTCTAGATAAGTGATGGAAGCAACCACTGTCAAATTTCTCCTGTTGATGGCAGTTGGTGTTCGTTTTTGTTGCTGTTGGTTGGTTATCTTCATCACCTCCGTCTTCTCTATGATCACCTGAAGTTCTGTCTTCTCTGCTTGCCTTTTCAAACAGTTTGTTGGTTTTCGCCTTTGTGGCGAACACAAATCATCTACATGCGAAATAGAGATCTTCTAGAGTCTTCATATCGGTCGTCCAGTGTATTCCTGTTTTCTCATTCCCAATGCACAGTCTGACGCTTAATCCAGTCCAGTTCTAATCCTTTCTAATCGTTAAATTAGAAGAGGTTAAGACCGTGGTAGAATAAGAGACTGGACAAAATGTTTCTGTATGCAGACTTAGGGGTTGTATTGACGAATTTCCAATGCCTCCGCCATACACAAATACATTAACCTGGCGCCCTTTTGGTCTTAACTTGCAGATAATCTTGAAAGACGACTCTGGTGAATCTAGGTAGCTTGGGTTCATCAATTTCTAGAGAATTGAGCTAGTAATTGTCTTGCATTGTCCTTTTGCTAACCATGCAGAATAATGTACAGAGATGCGTTTGGAGAGTGTGCGCCTTGTGAGGCCAATATAACTAAATTCACAGGAACAGGTGAATTTATAAACACACATTGAAGTGGCCCAAATCGGCAGTTTATCCTCCACATGTTCATTGATCATTTGACAGCTGTAGAAATTGGTGCATAGCTCAGCCGCAAAGAAGGCTTTTTTCAGTGATTTGCATAGGCGAGCCTTCAGGATCTCAGCTGTGGTATCACTTTTAGAATTAAACGTTAATAAACAGCATTTTCTTCGGCACCGTCTGGGTTTTTTCAGGCTTTTGCTTTAACTTCACGTTTTCTATGTGGACTTATCTGAGTCGCTCTAATTCCCCGTCGATCGTATCACTGGAACATATTCTTCTAATTCCTGAGGATAAGGAGTGGATCAGATTCCTCTTTAATCTCAAAGGGACCCACCTACGAAAATTCGTGTATTGACCATTCCATATCGGTTTCTTATAGAATGATCTCTGAAGAGAACAATCAGATCTCGTTTTTAGCAAAACATCCAAGAAATTGGAATTCCGAGTTCATCTCTGATTCTGACGTGAACCGGATAGCATGATGGCAGCTGTTGAACTCCTTAGTTATCATTTCGATGTTAGCATCCTCGTCAAATATGGCAAAAGTATCACCCGCGAATCTTTGGTACATATAAAAACTAGGAATGCCCAGTGCCAAAGATCCCCAAACTGAGACGAAACTGTGTTCAGTGCTCCCTGGTAGTTTTCAATAATCTCGTTAACTGATGTTCATTCGTGATGGAATCTGCATTGATAGTAGTAATCAATTTGTTTTATTCACTATCCTTATTTAAAATCGAGAATTTTGAGCGCCAATATTATTATTCACCTCATTTTTGCTATTGTGTGTTTCTAATTTAGATTTGTCGATTTCGACGATGTACTTCTTTCATCAGTACAAATTAAGCATATTCCTGATGTTAAAATAATACTCCTACTAGTCTGCATCGCTATCATCTCATGGATCCAACTATTTTAATGTGATCAATGAGCACGAATTGGACATTGAATTATGTTCTTTCGCTTACTTCATATGTGATATTTGTTTAAATTCAGAGACGTGTATACTTCATGTGATAATCATTGGACATTGACTCAACTGTGAAAGACATATTTTAATTTTAATTTCAAGGTTTTTGCGCCAAATTACCATGACATTCCACTTTTTATTTTTTTTCAAGACGCATCATCATCATTATGTCATTATCTAAATCATTTCATTTCCGATTCTTCTTCCGTTTGTTCATTATTGATTTTATTTGTTTTGATCGTCAACCTATATGTGCGACCGTGATAAATCGTGTAACTTAATTCAAACATTGTCTGACTGTATTTTCTTTACAAATATTCGACATATATTCAATTGATACACTTCATTGAACTAACAGTTTTTTTATTGTTATTGTTATTAATATTACTATCGCTTGTTCTTCTCATTGTGAGTGAAACGTAGGTCTGCTTCAGTGGAACATCTTCAGCTGGCACTACGATTGCCGAGAAACTTTCAGTTCGTCTTCATATGATCCTGTTAGTGTTATTCATGAATACTAAATCAATCGCTTCCTATCAAAGGTTTCCATCTAGAAAGCCTAACTAGTAAGTATCTTCATCGTATATCCTACCCATGCTTTATGATTTAAGCGTGCATATTCGTTGATCTGTAGCCTCTTGGTGTCATGTGATGTCGTGCATCAAGTGAAGTGAGCAGGCTTTACCCTGAGTCTTAAAAACATGCAGAAATACCGAGCGACGACTTGACTTTGGTGTTTTGAAAATTGCCTTCTGCTAGGTTCTGCAGATGTTAACGATGAATTCAGCGTAGTTTACACCAATTTTGCGCTTCTGCTCATGTTTGGCTTTGAGATTATCATCCATGACGGCTGTTGTAGTGAAAAAGGAATCAGGTCAGCTAGATAAGTTCAAGAAATGATTTACTTTAGATTACTCCATCTGGTTGTAATTGGCGCTTATTGTTGCTGTTCTTGTTGGCTAGGTATCCTCACCAACTCTATCTACTCTATGTTCATGTGAATTCTAGCCTACACTGCTTCGTATGTCTACTTTTCGGTTTTTACTTGTAGATCTTCGAGTATGTGTGAGATTACAGATACATGTTCCGAAAATTCGAGATATTCTAGGGTTTTTTTCAATCACACATATTCTTGACTTCTCTCTCCCTAACCAAAGTCCGTTCCATGATTCAGTCTACCGACAGTCAAAAATTCCATCGTTAATTTACTTGAAATTTGCTGAAATAAACTGGCTTTTGAACCTGAAACCATTATGGAATCGTGTGTTTTGAAATGTAGAGTGTAGATATAATAGTGAACCATAAAAATTGTTTTGTATCTTTGAGTAATGAACCAATGAATAATCAATGTATGATTATGGAAGAACAGTTAGGAAGTAAATACAATAAATATTGTTGATCAAATTATTACGGATATAGCCACTTGATATTTCAGTCATTTGAGTCCAGTTCCTTTTCCACTTTTGTTGGTCTGGGCATCTAGGTAGCATCACAAGTCCTCATATAGTGTGTACTGCTCACAGAGTGGTATATGTATATGTAAGTATAATTTATTATTATTATCCTCTAACTTCAACAACACATATCCACTTTGTTCAGTTTTCTGCTGTCCTCTTCAGCTAGGTTCACGACTGACCAAACTCTCTCATCTCTTCCTCACACGATCTCCTCCATTTCACCCTAGGACGACCCACTGTTCGCTTCCTATTTGGATTCCGCCTGAGGGCCTGTCGTGTGATATCATCCGGCAGCCTCCTAAATATATGCCCAATACACCTCCATTTTCTCCTATATATTTGTTGAGCGATCGGCTCTTCGTTGGTTTGTTCTCACAATTTCTTGTTACCTATTCTTTCTGGTAAGCCATTTGATCTTCAGTATGGAGCCAGTGAAGGCAACTGTTGGCAAAAGTTTGTAAATTGTTGGAAATCCTTTTCATTATACGCCAAGCTTCTGAAACGTAGAGAAGGACCAACCGACTTGACATTGGTGTTGAAAATGCGAATCTTGTTCTTTGTGCTGAGTCAGTGCAGAAGATTTCTCAACTGGCTTCAGTTTGATGAGGGTGCATCTTACCTTTCCGATGCTGCTTGGCTTTGACATCTTCGTCCGTCCCACCTGCAGTTGAAACGATACATCCTAGATAAGTGAAGCAGGTAACCTCTGTTAAATCTGTCCCGTTGATGGTAACTTGTTCTGGTTGTTGTTGTTACTGCAGTTCGTTGGTTATCCTTCGTCTTCTCTATGTTCACCTGCAGTACTTTTTTCGCTGCCAGCCTCTTCAACTAGTTTATTGGTTTTTGCTTGAAAGTCTTCAAGTTTGTGTGACATTAGACAGATATCTTCTGCGAAAGCCAGATCTTTTAGAGTCTTCTTATCGGTGATTCCTGCTTTATTGAGTATCTTACGTAGGGTCTCAGATTTCCACTCCTTATTTAGTAAAACCTCGATATCACTCAGCATTCAATACCGCCTAACATGGAAGAGAGAACGCAAAAATGCCAGAGATAGCAAATATCACATGTGCCTCTCGTATACTTTCTGAGATTTCCTCAGCAATCGGTCCAACGTGGATGTTGCGACTTCCCATACAAATGGAGTCGCCACCTTTATCAATTCAATCTGTATCATTTTGGCTAAAAGTCGTTCCATTCTAATTATGCTCAAACTAAGTGGTACTCGGAAGAAACAAACGTGAGATGAGGCAGGCAATAGACTAGGAAGAATGTGTATTGATCCTTTAATCACCAAAAACCTCAGCATACTTCTCGACCTGAACGATCCTTTCGAAACGTTTAAACGAGATGTGCAGTATATGACCATTAACAGATTCTCAAGAATATATATATCTCATTAATCATGATACTGAACGCGAAATTTACACAGCTGTTTTAGAGTTCACATAGACTAGTCGAGTGACACCAATTTGAGCTAATTCTGAGAGGAAAGCCCTGCATCTATAGCATTTTTTAGCCTTTTCAGAATAACTAGAGTTAATATAGATTTTAAGAATGGTAACTTTAAGAAATATATTACTTATAGAAGGAACTTAGCAGAAATTAATAAAACCCGCCCCCAGATCTCAAAGCATTCAATTTTTTTTCAAAGAAAACAGTAAGTTAAATTAGGCTAATTCATATGTACACCCTTCTATTACTAAAAATATCATGTTTTTGTAAGCATAACTTTTAACTCGATTTTATCTATCACTATTTTAAGTCTTTTTAATTTTAACACATATTTGGCAAATACTCGTGCGTTAAGCTTCGTGAATAATTACCTGATGTATTTATAATATATAATTGACAGAAATAATTTGTAAAACACAAAATAATCGAACAAAGAATATTCTTTTCGATAAATTCCTCTTCCAGGCTCTACAATTATATATATATATGTTTATATACACAGAATATTTTAAATTAGTAGTTAATAACAATATTAGCGTTTTTTTAAATTTGGTAAAAAGCTAAGAAAGATTCTGGCATGATAGAAAAAAATATCAAATCAAAATACATCTTCTCACTGACTCATTTCTCAACTGTTTTACATCATCAATCAGTCTAGTTTTCATTGGATAACTAAGCATTGCAGGTGGTGAACATTTACGTCATACACAAGCAGATAGACACGTCAATTGAGCATATCATTATCCATTATGTGAGATATCTTCTGACCTCATCAGTAGTGTGGTTGACGGAGCTCAATTATTTTATCAATGATTTAAAAATATATATTATTATCGACCCAGACAAATACACTCTTATATTTGATTGATAACAGGTAGATTGTGAGAGCGTTGAGACAAAATTCTTGTGAACTATGGAAATCAAGCATAAAAGACTAAAAACAGACTCATTTAAAAATAAATTAAATAAGTAATTTATAAGGCACATAGAAAGATGGAGACAGTGAAGAATTACAGTGAATCTATTAGTTAGTCTTATTTCGATTTGATATGAAGCAACTCTGAGTGTGAACAGCTTCTATGAGCCTTTAGGTTACCTATTAAGGGTTACTACACTTCTAGTATTCAAGAAATTTCAGTCATCAAGAGTGGTAAGTATCCTAAATACTTTCTATTCACCTATAGGAGAAAACTTACAGTAAGGGAAATATGATGCATAAACAAAATAATGTGTAAACTAAGTAATACTCATGAATACACTCACCTCCTCTACATGGGTGTATATACTATTTGACATTTTGTGAGACCCTAGTTACATACAGCTTTCAATTAGGCTGGTTCTTCATCGCATTCCCAAACATCATCCTGGATGGTTAAGCAATGAAAAAATACGAGATCCATTCCTAACCAGCTCTGTTTTAGCACACCTTGTAGATAGTGAGAATAAAGTCGATAGCAATATAGCTTTTAAAGTTATTTAATGCATTCCGACTAATATGAATTATGCTCTACGAGTTGGTCTTCAACACACAACTGAAGCCGTCGGAGTCCATCTGAATAAGCGAAATTTGTGTGTTGAGGAAAAAATTTGTGTAACCACTTTCTCTACCTCTGGCCGTCGTTACATGAATGTATTCGACTGACAATTTCCCTCTTTTCCTATTAGTTTGTTTATTAGATATATCACATACAAAGTGAAACAGTATTATTCACTGGATGACATTTCGAACAAAAGTGATTGTTCACAACCATATGAGTTATAATCACACGACAAGGAAACTTGAGTTTTATAGTTTTCTTTGTTCTCTCCTGTTTGTCGTCTTTTGGGTAGTAGAATTTTCCAGATATCTGGGACAGGTGTTGAATCATTTCCATTACACGTGTTTGCAGTTGATTCGATGAACAAAGCTTCCGTTATCAATCTCTCCCTCCACCCTGTGACACTGCATTTTAAAACTGTCATTCTATCCCATCCTATTGTATGGTTGTGTGTACCACAGTGCCCAAGTTTTACACATATATTCCCTCTTTCCCCCTAGGC